GTACGGAATACAAACACACAGACAGACAGACAGGACATCCTAACATATGCAAGAGTGCGTGTAACGGTAACGTAATACCTTGACAATGTCCCTCTTTTGCACACACACACATATACTCGCAGGGACATACGCACACAGAATGCTTTTAATACATTTTAAGCCGCATTTTTTCACACGTGGCCACATAACAACAAGAAAAAAGAAAAAGAAAGAATATTATAAGTCGAGGGTCCCGAAGAGAAAATAACCTGGCCCTTAGTTTCTTAAAATCATTGCATACTTTCTGGCGACTGAATAGAAAAGAAGACATAAATATAAATGTGTTATTAGGATATTTTAAGCTGTGTCTTCTAAAGAATTTATACATTTTCAGAGAAAGCAATAGAAGTGCAAAAAGTTTAAACGAAATCTGTTTTAATACAATAGAATGTCGCAGGAATCACAATAAATTATTATTTAAAAGTTGCTGTAAAAAGCTTAACTTAATTTTTCTCTATTAATCTATCGGAATTTTTTATTAAATATTTATAAAATAACATACTTTTAGACAGCTTCATAGGTGAATTTAAACCTCTAGATGTTCCTATAGCATCCCCGAATATACCCCTTTTAAAAGTACCCCGTATAGCAACAACTAACATGTTATCCCTACACACGCTGTTTTTCTCTCATATGGAGATATGTATGAGGGGGTGGTATAGCCACAAAATATCAGGAAGCTTGGTCCCCAGCACAAAAACAAAGCCGCATGAAAAGGGAAGCGGAAACTTTAACACCCTCTCCATCAAACCCCTCTCCTCGACCAACTTTGTTTAGTGCGACTGGCAGTTATCATATCTGCTGGGCCGTTAGTTGCCTTTCTTGTTTTTCAGAGCCATGTTTGGAAAAACAAAATGACCACAGGTATGGAATGACCAAGGATAATGCGGATAACTCGGAAAATTGAAGTGGGCTCTGGGTTTCGTAAAATGCCCTTTGAGAGTAAATGGTTTAACTAAATCTTAATACATCGTAAAATCTATTGTTCCTTTATAATTATTTGTTACAAAATCCTTTCATCTAGTTTTTTCTATTAGAATTAGAATAGTTTTACTAAAAACACATTGAAATCAAATTGAATTTTACCAATTTAGATATGTTATGATTTCCTAGCTTGAAACAATAGTGTTGGCCAAAATTCTTGACTAAAATAGAGTGTATTACTTGTTCATAATGTTTGCAACATCAGGCCCACCTTTTTTAGTAATTTACTGTGCGAAAGGGTTTCGTGTTTGTCATTTGGCGAACGAATGTGGTAAGTGAAACCTTTTTGTTGTTGTGGCAAGCATAATTAAGCACAAAACTCGCATAAGTCTGCGTGCATGAGTGAGATCGCCAAAAAACCGCACAACAGGAAAATTAAAATTCAAAAAAAGCTGGCGAAAACTTAAACCCACACGAAGCAAACAATTTAATTATAATGAATAATAAATGAGCCCGCCGAGCCAAGATCCAAGCGGAATTTATATGCAAATAAGTCGGAGGCAGGGAAGAGTGAAAACAAAAAAAATGTTTAAGAACGCTGCCTGCCTAAGGCAATTGCCATAAGACAGGGGCTTTTCGAGCATGTGAGTGTGTGCACGGGTTAATTAATATTTTATGTTATTAACCCGAGTGGATGCGGCTGCGTTTGGATGCCGGGAAAACTGAAAAGCAGGCGAGAAACTCACGAGGAAAACTCAAATTTATTGAGCTAATAAGACTGGCTGGGCTCACTCAATGTTTAATCAGGCCTAAATGTTTATGGGCTTGGTTAAATATTGGATTCAGCGACGAAATGTGTTGCTTATTGACTAATTAAGTGGCTAATGCCGGCAGCAGCAAAAATCCTTGAAAAACTTGGAGAAATTCAAGTAAAAGTTAGAAGTAGTGGTGGCTTTTATAAGTATGTAATGTATCTTTACTTAGATAGCTACAACTTATATTTGTTTAGCTTAAGACTGTGGAACACCAAAGCTTCTTTGATAAGTAACTGACCCTATTAGATAAGTTTATTTATGTTTAACAAGTTAGGAAACACCCTTGTATAAAAACATTCTAAACTAATATACTCCTCATTTTTCTTAATTTTACTCACCATGAATGACTAATTGGGAATCGTAGTTCATTTCGTAAAGTCGTATGGCCTCGTCTAGTTCCATTTTCGTTGATATGGTACAGGGATCGTTTTCCTCATCTACCCATTTAATGGTAAAGGGCTGTAATAATTGAAATTTGTATAAAACTTATGACACTGAAATTGTTTGAGCTTACCTGATCCAGGGGAAACCGGCAGATGTTGCGGATCTCATAGCACAGTTCCTCGTACGAGATATTCTTGTTGACAGTGGTAATGATGATCTGGCCGTTATAGGCGGTCTTCACCGTAATGCTATTGGGCGTATTGGCCATATTCATGCTGCCGCTGTTCAAACTGGCGCTGCTGCCGTCGTTCAAAATTTGCGAGGGCATTTTCTGCATTTGCTAGCTGGATAAAATGATTTGATAACACGTAACACACAGAGACACAAAAATGGATAACAAAAAACTGCAAAAATAAGAAGAGATAAATACAAATTATAATAAAATAACTGTTATAAAGAGAAGTCTTCATGAAAAGATAAAGATAGTTTGTTAAAAAATAATGTATTTATTTAATAAAGTGGGATTTCAAAATTTGTAATTGTAATGTGACTCTCAAAAAGTTGAAAGGTATTGAAATATTTAAGTAAACTTTTGAACTCTAAAAAAAGATACAAGTAATTATGCGAAGCATTATCTAATTCTCTTCTCTATAATTCTTTTCAAATACAACTTCAGTTTTATCATAGAAAAATTCGATTTTGGGGAGTTTCACTGTATAGCTATATGATATCTCAAAGTTCCCATAAGTCACTGAAATGAACAGATAAATGTTTAAGAATTTCAAGCGTATTCTTACGCTCATTTTTGTTATCTTTTATTCTTTAAAATACGATTTGAAATCCCGCCCTAAACGAAATGTCAACTTTGACATTTGAGGCACGCGCACAAACACAAACAAAAGCAAACTGCATGCCACAGGTTGTTGTTGTAGTTCTTGTTTGTTGTTAGTGCACCAAATGCGGAGACAAACACAAAAAGGAAAAAAGACAAAACAAACGCGAATGAATCATTCAAAACGCCCACAAAACAATAAAAGAAGAAAAGTAAATGGAATTAGCACGCCAAAACGAGTGTGCAAATTAGTTTATTTTTACTCCTGTCCTCTCTTTTTTTCCCCTATTTACTTAAGTATTTGAGCGTAATTAATGCGGTACATTGACCAAGGTAACTGTTAAAAGTACCCAGTTGGCAACAACAACAGTGCAACAAATGAGTAAGTAAGAGAGAGGGGGACGCAAAGAGAGATCGGGAGCGTCGACAACCTGTTTTAACTCATTAGCATTTTTCAATTAAGACGCTACTTTTTTAACTTTAACAATTGCAAGTAAAAACTTAAGCTTTAACTCTTGACTCACACTAGTTTTCTTGAGTTTATTTAACCACGAATAGTAAGCACAGAACGCCGCACAAAAACACTGAGTGGACAAATCATACAACACGAAACATTTAAATTAAAGCCAATCAGTGCGACACATACATTTTAATCAAATCACTGGCACTCGCACACTTTTAATTAATTGTTATGGCTTAAACAAATTAAAACTAACATTGCTGTTCCTCCCTTTACTTCGCTTTTTTGGAAGGAGAGCACAAAGCGAAGAGCAAAAGCAAAAAGAGTGTTTAAAGTCGAACTCTGGCGTTTGCTAACACTGATAAGGTTTGGTATATAAATACCAAAAAGCTGGCAAACTTAGTGTCAAGATTTAGTGGTATTTTTCTGGTTTTACTTTGCTTTTACACTGATGCAAGGGCTGGAGAAACATTGAAACCGTTAAGCACTGTTATTTCTTAAAATTATATCGAAATTTTATCTTGATAGAGAATAAATATAAGGGAAAACTAAAATAAGTTTGTAATATCATAAATAATTCTTATTCTACTACCAAAATTCAATAGTTTTTCAAAAGATTCATAAGCGGAAATATAAAATATACATAATAGATGTGCCCATCATAAAACTGCACGATTTCTTAGAAGCCAATATTCTTAGAGTACCATTCATTATTTTACTGATCATTATTTTTTTATATAGTTAGGTTTTTTTTCTTGTTTTATAAATTTCAAAGTACTTATATAGAAATTTATTTCATAGCAGAAATAACTAAAAGTTCCCCAGCTGCAATTCACAGTATAGAAAATACCATTTACTTTAAAAAAAACTTACATAGTATTAATTAAGCAAAAACTATATGAAAAAAAAATATAGTGAAAGATGTGCCCATCATAACACTGCATGATTTTTATTTTTTTTTATGAAAATCATGTAGCTTATTAAAACAATTTTAATACCTTCTCAGGTGCCAATATTTTTACAGTATTACTCAATTTATTTCTGATATAGTTACTTATTACAACTTTTTTGTTATATGTAGTTTACATTTTTATTCAGAAATTTTGTGGCAGAAAGAACTGAAAAGTTCCTCGACTAAAAGATACCCAGTAACGATTCTGCAATTCACAGTATAAAAAATACCATACCAAAAAATTTATTGAAAGATGTGCCTATTATAAAACTGAATGATTTTTATTTAATATTTTTGAAAATCCATGCTTTTAAATTTACAATTCTTAAAGCCTTCTCAGGAGAAGTCAATATTCTTACAGTATTACACAATTTTTTTCATATATAGTTACGTTTTTAAATTTTCTTGTTATATGTACTTTCAAAATTTCTTACCAGAAAGAACTACAAGTTTCCCGAATAAAAGATACCCAGTATGCAAGTCACAGTATAGAAAATACCCTTCACCTTAAATAAACCTCCTTGGTATTTTACTGATATTTTTGTAAATCTAACATTGGTATATTTCTACGGCTAGGCTGTGGTCACACTAAGTTTTGTTTTCGTTTTTCCGCCGTTCGGACGTTTGTTGCGGAATCGCGTTCATCCATCGTTAAATTTTAAAAGCGAAATATTGCACTATTATAAATATTACAACGAATCAAGGTGATTATAAATACTTGGAAAAATCAAAGCTACAAATATCTAAAAAGTACTAAGTAAAAAACTTAAAATTATCAAGAAAAAAAATGGCGGCTCAGCAAACAATAAAGAGGTGTCGCGACAACAACTAAGCAAGAAATTCAGCTTAAAAGAAACCAACGAAAAAACCGTCAACATTTTCGTCTGCCCCAAAAATTAATCTGGTTTTTATGTTTTACTCGCGCGTCGCAGACATAAAATAAAGACAACAACAAACAGTGAGATTTCTGTGTGTGTGCGTTTTATTCCGTTTGTTTGTCTCCTGTTTTTGTGGAAAAGGCCATAAAAAACGTGAAATTCATTAAGCTACAAAAGCAACAATTACGTGCATTTTACATTGTTTACATTTTGTGTGCCAGCATTCGTTACGCTTTTGATTTATGTGATTTGTCGAAAGAAAAGGAGAGGAGGAGGAGCCGTTAGCTAAAAATCTGGAAAATAGTTCATTTTACTAATTAAGTAAGTAGTTACTACGTGTTTTACGAGTTTATTTTACATTTAAATAGGTTTGGTGCTTTCATGGCGTTTTGCCCAGGCGGCAACTCTTTTTGTGTTTTTATTTTGATGGCTCGTTCGTCCTGCGCTGCCTGCGTCGACGTCGGCTTCGCCATCTGTCACTTTTGAGGGTTGCCAGCTGTTTCGGACCGACTTTTATTTAATGCCGCATCTTCGGCATCTGCAGGAAATTGGGTTTCGATTCCAAAAAAAGGAAACAAAGAAATTGGGAAGGGGTATACCGAAGTGCAGCTGCAGCTGTTTAGGCTTATGTAATTAATAAACCCACACGTGCCTGGCATTTCTATCGACACGTGACAACTCTGGTCGTGAGAAGTGGGGGAGTTATAATAATAAAGGTTTTTATTTTATTGTTCTTATTAATATTCCTTGTTTTGCTTTTTTTTATTTAATAATAATTAAAATCCAGGGCTGTTGGTATTTCTTGGTTGTGGTGGCTCAGATTGCGCCATAAAAGTCATATAAATCAATAGAAAGCGCAGCACCAACACACACACACACCTATAAAACCATAACTCACTTGCCATAATAAATCGAGTGAGAGAGAAAGAGAGAGAGAGAGCGAGACTCGCGCTCAATATGCAGAGATTTGTGTGGGAATCAAATGACTTGATGTCGTTGTTGTTGTCTCCAATGAAGTGTTAGAATAACGATGGGGAAGGGGTTTGGCGGTAATGGCTCCGCCAAGAGATTACAACGCGTGAGAGAGAGAGCGGCAGCTGCGCGTTTCTCAAATAAAGTTACCGCAACTCGTTGGAGCCTTGTCTCTCCCTAAGTGGATCCCTCTCTCTATTTTTCTTATTGGCTTGAAAAGTGGTTGCGCTGGCTTGGTATGCGTGTGTTTGTGCCTCGGTTTGTTTGTCTTTTCTGTGGCATTCAACGCACAGTGGGACAGATAAGAAGATTATTAATTATTATGCCCACCCCAACTTCCAAAAAAGTATGTACCAAGTTGAATGATCTATAAATACCTTTTAACTTATATAAAAGTATTTATAAAAGTATAATTCTTTCTGTCTGCACTAAAATATGTACAAACAACGTCAAATGGGAATAAAATATGAAATGTTCTGATTATGAATAAAGCTAATTTTATGTGAACTCTGTTAACTGTTACTGCTAAACTTTTTACTTTAACTAAGAAGTTATCAAAGTTAACTAGAAGATGGCTAAGTTAATTATCTACAAAATTTTTAAGTGAGAAATCGGACAGTAAAAAAGATTATGCATAATTGAAGCGCCACCTCTGACTTGTTCCACTGTGCCGAATGCATCGTTGCCAATGGCAACCACTTTAGGGAATAAAGCCTGTGCCTGCTTATTGAAGCTCCGCTTTGTTTTCCCATTTCTCTTTCTCCATCGTCTTTCCCCTGCCGTCTTTTTCATTCATTTATTAACTAACTAATTTGCCAGGCCCGAAACAAATTGCCCAGTGGAATTGTTATTGTTTCAATTGCAACAAATTGGCCGCTGAGAAAAATGGTTTTATCTCTCTTCGCGAGAGAGGGGAAAAACAAGTTGCGCACTCGCGCTCTGTTGGAGCCTCTCTCTCTCACTCGTTCTCTCCTGCAACTTCGAGGACTCCGGACTCCAATTGGATTTTACGGACCTGGCTTTAACGCTCGAATGCTGGAGCCGCGTTTCAATACGATTTTGCTTGCGGTCGTCGGCGCTTCTCTTTTTTTCGGGCTCCTGTCGCTCGGTTCTCCGATTCTCCAATTCTCAACATACAGCTACTTTTCTGCTCGGTATACGCTCGCGTGCGTGTGTGTGTTGGTGTTAACGTAAAAAGAAATTTTTGCACAGCATTTTTTTATATGAAAAATCAATTGCCAACTTGGTGAAATTCCCAGTTAATGTGTATTTCAAGTGTCATCATAAGGTTTTCATAGAAATCTGGCAGAAATTCATCGTTTTACCATGGTAATTTACATATTTTTTGCACAGTTGTTCTGCGAAATCCTACGCATGTGTGCGTGTGTGTGTGACTACGCTTCGTTGTGTGTGTGTGCGTAGTAGTAAGCCGCATACGATTTTCGGCGAAAAAAAATGGGTAGGCGGTGGGCGGGGCAAGAGGCAAGTGCCTCAAAAAACGTCTCAAAAAGTTCAATGTAGCTGTAAAACGCTGAGCACTGCCCTCCATTATTCATGGCTACACCGAAAAAAGATAGTTTTAGACGTACTAATAGACAAAAAGGTCAAGAAAATTGGATGGCTTTTCATAATGCACATCTATCTTTTTATAAAAAGTGGTTCTACTCCCAAAAGCCTTTCAATTTTTTTATAAGGCATTGTATTTTTAAAATTCAGATATTGCTATAGTAAATATTTTGTCTTAAACATTCTGGGTATTACTTAAAATTTGTACAAGGCAGACGATCCAATTTAGAACGTGAAATTACAGCTTCGGTTGATCCACTTTGCGACTTCGTTTTATATGTTGGAAGAGAAGATAAAAAAAATGATTTTTTTATTTTATTTTAATGTAAGGGTATGTCTTGCAACATTATAAGAGCCCAATCAAACTTGAATTGATCCCCCATTTTTTCTGTGTACCTCCTACTTGTCTACCTCCGCCTCCTTAGCCCCCCCTTGCCTTTCTTCTTCATGTCTTGTAACTGCTTTTGTCTGCACTCATTGCTCGCCTTACAACTTGTTTGCCCCTTTCTTCTTGACCAAAAAAAAAAACAGAAAAAATACAAAAAGAAGGAATTGATGGCCGCTTTTGGTACGACTTGGAGTATATTTCTCTACGTGCCTGTCCGCCGTATTTGGTCCGTCTCTGCTTTTGTGTTTATTTTTCCTGTACTGTACACTATATGCCATATGCGCAACGCAATGTCGTCTTCGTTTGCATTAACCGTTAAACTGCACGTAAGTTATCCGTCCGTCTGTCCGTTTACCACCCGCCCGCCCACACATTTGACACATCTTCAGTGCTGCATTTTCCTCCTACGAGCTTTATTCCGCTCCTCCAAAACAGCGGCCATAAAAGGGTACTACGAGGTATGTCGGATCGGGTTATGTGTGGAATTCGGAGCGTGATTTACGGAATGGGGTTGGGGATACTACTCCTAATGGAATATGTCCGCCTAATTTGGCCATTGCCATTGAACATGTGGCGTTATTGATTTGGGTATGGGGTTTGCTATTAGGCCATCATTTATTCATGGGCCCATTTCAAAGAAGATGAACTTTGAAAATGGCTGGTAATTGCAAAAGGATATATTGAAAATGGCATTTAATTAAAGCAATCATGCAGTTTAAAAGTATGCTCTACAAAGTCTTTGAAGTTAAATTGGCAATAATTAAGAATTGTACTTGCAGTGAATATTTCCTTCTTTTTGCAGCCTTAATTACATTATTGACTGTTGAGTAAGATCAAAGAAATTCATTTATTGGAGTGAAATACGATTTTTAACTTTAATTTTTTATTGAACATTTTAATCTTATTATGTTTAAACCATTATTGGTTATTAAAGACACCCTGTTTTGTATCTTAATTATAACATAAACTGTATTTTAATTTTGTTTTATTTATAGGGTAGCAGTACAGCTCCTTCAATACTCCTTATTGCAATTCGCTTCATATAGCTGTTATGGCGCTGTTTTTGCCTGTTCTTGGCGTTTGCCTGAAACCTGAAACAAAACGCAGAGACAATGCACAAGCAACAACAACAGCGACAACTCCCTTTTACAGGCAAAACAAGTTTTGGCTGCCTCTGGCCATTTATTGTTGCTGGGAGTTTAGAGTTTGGAGTTGTGGTTGCTGCTTGTCTCTGCGCTTTGCAAGATCAACATCTCGAGCTATCGACAGGCTTTGTGGCAAAGAGATGGTGAAGTTTTCAGGCGGCAGGGAATCACGGAGCAGGCAGCAGGCAAGCAGCATCATCGACACCATCTTTTTGTGCGGCTGTTGGTTGTTGTCGCTCCACGTTTATTGTGGTTGTTGCACAGCGGAAAAAAGTTAATGAAATCCATATTGCAACCTCAAATTTCAATCAATATAATCATAATCGTATTAGTGATAATGATTATTTAAAATGTGTATGTGTAATGAAAAATATTATAAGAGTCATTTGCTTGCAGATAGTTCAGGCTTTAAAGCAATAATCAGAATTTCAAAAATCATAAATTTGACCATTCACATTGCTCTTTCCATGATATAGCCCCAGTTGACAATAGAAAACTAGGTATTTTAAAAGGCGAAATAATATTTTGTTTCTAATATAACATGATATACCTTAAGAAAGGTTATTTGACCATAAAACTGAGCTCATTGATGAAATTTATATGCAGTTTTTTCTCTCCCTGTATATGTAGCTTTCTTTCTTTTTGTTTGGCTTGACAAAATATTCTACTAAGTACAAAACCTTTTTACTTAAGACCGGGGCGTGGTAAACACGAATAAAGTACGACCGAACTTTGTCCATTGCATTTCGGGCAAAATCCAAAAAATAAGGGGCAGTGAGGAAAAAAAAGGGAAAAAGCGAGTGAAAGAGTGAAAAAAACTTGTCATATGCAAAGCACCCGCAGCTGATAAATAAGAAGCAGAGACGGCGAACCTTTTGTTGTCAATAATGAAGTGTTGGCTGGCCAACTGAAGTCCGGGTAGTGTATAGTGTGGGGGTGTTTTTCAGATGGGGGGACCTTCCTTTATCTATCTGGCTTAATGACACCAGCACACACTCACTGGCAGCGTTAATAAACATGAGATTGAGATGCGCCTCATTTAATGCCGCCAACCTCCTGTGGGTCTCTGGTATATATCGGATAATATATGCCAGCTGGCCTGGCGGGTCCATTGCGGGGGTGGGCTATTCGGTGGGTGGTGTGCTGACTGGGCTGGCCGTTCTGGTGATAGATTGGCCGTGTTACCGTTTGCCATTTTATTGCGCTCCATTTGGCTGATTACTCATGCCAGTAAACTTTAACGGCTCTCGACAGCGACAAAAACGATATGAAAGAGAAGAAAACGAGCCACTAAATGGAGCGAATCTAGCGAAGATTAAATACGCTTTTCCTCGGTCGGTTTTAGGTTGCAGGGTAGATAGGTTACTGTCAAGAAGCGAACTTCAATGAGATTAAATTTCATTTCGCCACGTTCTTCATATTTCTTTTTTGAAATTAAGCCAATATTTTGAATATAAACTTATTTTGGAGGTTTTAAAATATGATCTACGCATTTTATAAACCTTTTTGTAAGCTTTCTGTCCTGTTAAAAGTACCCCTTTATGTTAATGATAATAAAATTGATTTTAGTTCACTTTTTTTTATAATACACAACTTTAATTGCGAATTTGATGTAGTTGGGAATATAACCTTTTCTCAACGAAGAGTATAAAGATTGCGGTCAATTTGTATCTGATTTATCACTGTTTCCCATCCGCCCTCTCTTTGTATCTGTGTTGAGAGCACTGGTGTAACCATAATTATTTTTAGTTGCTCAGCGTTTTTGCTGCCAACTTCAAAACCACAACTCCGCTTCATTGTACATCTATCAATACGTGTATGTGTGTGTGTGTGTTTGCGTTTGTGTGTGACAATCAATAAATCTTTCAGCCTGTTGGCTGCCCAAACCACCCACCAACCCCCTGCCTGTCGACTATTTCCCTTTTGTATTTATGTATTTGCCAACACCCAAAAGGTCCCAAGCCTCCAATTGCATTTCCAATCAGTTTTTATGCTGCACACAGTGAACACTCGCCCGGGGAGACCCCTTCAATAGATTCCAAATTGATTTCGATTTTATATCCACACTTTTAAGCCAAAGCTGGCATTCGCTGTACATGAAAGACAGGGCAAGTGTTATGCTCATTATGATTACTCACCACCCACAACACAGGCTATGCACTGAAAAAAAAACATTGATTAAATAATATTCGTTGAGCTTAAAGGCCAATCTTAAGATGATCCATCACTGTTTTTAATACTTCTAAAAGCTGGTTTAAGATAAAATAACAAATTTCTTTAGTTCTTTTTTCAAAAAAAAAAAAAACTTTTTTGAGAAGTAGTAGTTTATTTAATCATATGTTGTACGACTATGGTTAAATTCATAGTATTTAAATGTTAATGGATTTATCCCCAAGAATTTAAATTAAACTGACTGTCCAAAATTTGTCTCTGTATATTATTTCACTACCCCAAACCACCTCCACCTCCCCTTTAAAAACAGAGTGCGGGGGTGTGCCTGTTTCATGTTTGCAATTAAACTTACAGCTCCTAACAACAATGGTAGCTCATAAAAATGGGATAAAAAACAGGGTAAAAAAAGACAAATATTTAAAAATGAAAAAAAAACTGCAATGCCGGCCGCATGAAACGGTTCAACAACATCTGGTGGGTGGATGGTTTTCGGTATATGAAGGGGCTGCGGGGTGGAAGGTGGTTGGGTGGGTGCAGCTCGTGTGGGCGGCAAAACAACACAATACCGAGAAACCGCAACCCACATTTGCTGCTGCAGTTGATATACTACCCTACTACGCGAAAACTCCAAATTCGCTCGCTCTCTTAACTCTCTCTCGGAGAGAAAACTCTCTCTCTCTCTTCTGTTTGGGGGTTTTCGCAACGGTTGCAGTTTTTCCTTTTTTCCGGCACGTCGCATACATAAAAATTCATTAAAAAGGCAGCTTGTAAATGAGATTTACTACTGCCACCGTTATGCGTTTTTTCAGCCTTTGCTACGGTTGTTTTCCTGCATTCTCCGCAACCCACACACACATTTCGTGGGGGGAGGTTGGAAACCACTTGGATTATGACACCTGGCGCTTTGGATTTTCACTCGCCGGCCGGGCAGCGAGTTCCCAATCGAACAGGTGGCCCCCAGTTATCGATAGGCAGCCGGAAAATGCAGCCTTTTGTTGTATTCCAAATCACTTATTTCTTTGTAGTAGTTCCCCGGTGCACTTACTTTGTAAGCGAACGAATTGCCAGGAAATTGCTGTTGCAGCTTTGGTTTTTTTATTGTTTCCCCGTAAATCGGGAGGCTTTATTATTGCGCCCTGCTGCTAATGACATGTTGAGGGCTCCGTTCGTGACTTTTTGCCAGATTTCGCTCGTCCGAAGGCCTGCCCGTGCATTTTTCGAGTGTATTATGACGCTGCCGACTAGACAGTAGCAGCAGCAGCACCACCAGCTGCCCCCCGAACCACAAAATGCAGTCAACGAACTTTGACACAGCTCGTGCCGCAGCCAAAGCCGTAGTCCTCGCCCTTTCACATGGTCTCGCGCCCCGTCTCGCTCCACCGCCCTCGTGCCGTCCCTGTCAGCTGCTTAGAACTCGTCCATGGGTGTTTGTTTTTGGGGCATCAAGGGCGTATCAGGCAGGAGGCTTTGGGGAATCGAGGGGTATGGTAAAATCAGGAAATTATAACTGATAATTTACAACAAATTTTAATTATTTTAAGATGGGAACGCACTAACTCCGCCAATATATTTGCAAAATTATAATAATTTCGCGATAACAGAGATTTTAAGAGCATTTCGCTCCCGAATTCCCCAAAGATTTTTTATCAACTCAAAAAATACCAATATTTTTGATCAAATTTCTCAGAATTGTTTATGGATAAATAATTTAGAGATTAACAATAAATTCACAAACCGCTTCAAAGTTTCAATGAGATTTTTACACAAAGACATTTATAGTTTATATAATGAATTGTGAGGAATTGCTTTTAAAATAAAATATTTGTTTATCAAAAATAAAGAAATGTATTAAGAAATATAATTTATAATTCCGAGGATTATAAAAAAAGTCTACTGGATCGTTAAACAAGTGAATAAATAAAGACTTCCAATTTAAATTTTGATTACCTCGTTTAAATAGATGAGCTTGTTTTTATTTGAAAACCAAGGGTACTTTCCCTGTCGTAACCTTTTGAGATGACAATTTTTTTGTGAATGAAAAGTGTAATACGATGCAGTGGAATAGATAGATGGGGCCGGAAAACTGGAGGCTGGAGGAGATATAGGGGAAAGAACCCGTGGCGCAGTTTATTGACTCGCCGCCGCATCGTCAAGTAAACAGTGCTAGAAGCCCTATTTTTAGTGTAGAACATCAAAACTGTCTATGCCCAATTATGCAGATTTCTTGTTTTCTGGCACACACATCTGGCGGACACATTTGCTAACTGCAGTACTGATTTTCCAATTGTTTTTTTTTTTTTGTGTTTTTCCAACAGGAGTCGGCGAAGATACGGCCCCGGCGGCCAGTAGTGGGCCATAATAATCATGCATCGTTCGCTGAAGCCGCATGCATCCACCGCACAGGCTAAGAAGGTGCAACCGCCCACGATTCCAGGGGATTTGCCGCAGGAATCGCACTATCAGCAGCCACAGTTGCTGCAGCAGCACCACCACCAGCAGCACAATCACCATCACCCGCACCACCAACCGCTGATACCGCTCTATCGGCTGAGCGGACCGCTGCGACATTACCAGAACTACCAGGCGGACGATGGGATCAGCATGAGCGGCAGCAGCATCGTTTCGTCGCCCTCGCTGGAGGAGGGTGGCTTCAATTTGCCCCGGGAGACGAGTGTGGCCCTGCGGCTCAAGGATGAAGTGGGTGGCGGCTCGGCGGTGGCCCCCTCGCCCGGAGGAGGAGGTGGCGTAGGAGCACCGGCGGTGGGAGCACCCCCTCCAGGAGCTGGTAAAGCTGGAGTTGCCATGGTTCCGCCACCACCCGTTTTCTGTGCCACTCTTCGCGAACCTTTGACCCACAAGGCGGCGGTCTACTACCACCAGCAGCTGGCTCTGCAGGAGGATCAGGGCATCGATCTTACCCAATCGCCTGGCCGAGATTCCCCCGGTTCGTCCTCGGGCTCTGCGGGCTCGGGATCCCGTCACAGCACCGCCAGTTTGGATTCGGGACGGGCTTCCTCCTACCTGACTGGTGTCTCCTCGTCGGGAGCTTCGATTCGGGCACCGCTCTCCTCACCGCGCTGCAGTTCCGTGAGCTCCTGCTCCATTGGCAGCGTCGATCGGCAGCGGAACGATGAGCTCATCATCGACTGGCTGCTAGAGATGAAGCACGAGGAGTACGCCCAACTGTTCATCGCCGCGGGCTACGATCTGCCCACCATTGCGCGCATGACGCCGGAGGATCTCACCGCCATTGGCATCAAGAATCCGCATCATCGCGAGCGGATCAAGCAGCGGATCGACAAGCTTCAGGTGCTCGACAATTTGCCGCATTTTGTGCCGGTAAGTCTTTATCTTTATTGATCTTTGGATAGTTTCCTAAAGATTATCATAAAATAATCCAATATAGATTAAAAAAGAGTCCAATTCAATATTTTTAACTGGAAAAGCATTTTTTTAACTGCTTCGAGAACTATCTGAAAATTGAAACGAACTTTATCTAACTGCAATAAAGACTAGAGTTCCGGAGAAATATCTCTATTTGTTAGCCCGCTCGTAAATATTTGCCTATCTAATCAGTACAGAACCTGTTCAACTTGTGATGCACCAAAGAGTACAGTAGAGACCTTGTGCGGGAAACTTGGAAAACTGAAAATATAATGAAGAAGTTAGGATAAGTTGCGGAGAGCTAAATTTAAAATGTAGAAGTGGGAAGACTTTAAAATTTGGTTATGAAATTAGATAAGTGAGCAAGCAAACAACTTTAAGGTGGGGCTTAAACAAAATCTAGTTGCTAAATCAAGTTTTCAGAATGATATTGAAATTTTAAAGATTAAATTTCCAATTTGTGATTTATTCCAATTAATTCAAATCGTGTAGTCTTAACAAAATAAAAAGTATTTCTTTAATCGATTTAAAAGGAAATGGCTCGTTTACGATCATGTTTGAATATCATAAAGATTATAAAGCCAACTATTACCTAGGCTAGCGATCAACTACTGTGAGTGTTGGCCTGCAATCACGTAGAGCAGCTTATTTAGTCATTGTTAACACAGATAGGGGGCTCACACACACAGCCTTGAGCTTGGCAAATTGCCATATTGGCATTAATTGTGGCCGGCAACACCCTTTTCTTCTCTCTCTCTCGTCGCCTTTTCCACTGTTTGCTTGTTTAGTTACCGGCTTATCTTTTATATTTCATTAAATAAGCATTTGCAAAAAAAAAGAGAAAGAGCAGAGGAAATAAACTTGTTTCCCACATGCGAAAGAGTAAAAGAGGACTTGAAACAGCACCGTCAGCGAATTTTTTTTAAGTTTATTGTTAATGAAAGAATTTCATTTAATATGCACACATTAATTCCCATCAACAATTCATTAAAAACACGGCAAAGTGAATAAATATAAAAAATTAAAAGTCCATTCGTGTGGAATTCTGTGGTGACATTAAGTTGAACTTGGAATAGCAGCAGCGACCTGCTCCATGGCGGATAATTGCTCTCCGGATCGAAGCTGATCATTAGACAATCGATCTGACAGATCAAGGTTCCACCTGAATGACTAAGATGATGGCCAACAATGCGCATTCAGTGAAATTCCATTCAAAGTCGAGTTTTAGCTTTAGAAATAATGGCTTTGAATGGATTTTTTGGGAGGTGAACAAACTGTTGAGTCCAAAAAATATTGAATCAGATAAGATTCGCATTGAATTTGCATTACTTCCGTTGTTAAATTGGGTTTAGATTTTAAATATTTAACATCCGCTTAGAAACTCAATAAGGTTCTCAACATTTTATCCAGTTTATTTGGTACATTCTTTATATTTTGTATTTGTGGTCTTCCGCAAAAAAACTCGAGCACTTAAATTATTCAGCAAACTTACCTTCCCCATTTTAAGTACACTAAAATTCGTACAAAAGGTACGTGACTTACAAAATGCAACCACCTGAGGTCTTATCAATATGCATTTCACGTTTGGCCCTAAACAACGCTTTCAAGTCGAATGACTAACCCCGAATAAAATCAACACGATATGCATATGGAAATGCATACAAATAAGAAGTTAAACGTATCACCACTCAACACTCCACATCGGTTCAAAGTTTAAAACTGAAACTTGACCAACATGATTATTCCGAATTTTAAGCCCCACTTGGAAACGAATCCAAGTCAATGTTGTGCCTTTGAAAAGTGCTCCAAAAATGCCTCCATAAATTAATATTAATTGTTTGGCCATACCATCTGCGGCATGAGTTCCACATTCACACAGTGCATTCCGGAGCCGATTAACACCCATCGGCCATAATCTTCAACTTCAACTGCAGCTTCGACTGATTCATGTCGTCGTCTTGCTTGCATATATATGTACATATCTTTAAGTTATGGGTGTATAACTGCATTCCCCGCCCACTCGGCTATATTGCAACCCACCTGCCAGCTCAGCGAATACAGAAAATATCATTTATCGCTTTTATCGATCATTCAACGGACAAAACTTGTGCCACATTCCGTTGAATTTCGGTTAATTGCTAGTTTTCCTCCATCTAATAACCTCCATTTTAGTTTTTCATTATCGCACCGTTTCGAATCTTTTTTAAGCGATTTGCTATGCTCGTTGCCTGCAATTTTTCAAATCAGAATGACCTCAGCTTTTGTTTTTCTCCGCCGGTTTTTTCGCTCTACAGACGGTTTTGTATTTCAGCTGAAAAATGCGCCATAATATTTTACTAGCTGTGTAGAATTTTGCGCTTTCTGTTGGGTTTTTTTTTATTGTGTTTATATAACGCGCCGTGACTGTTTTCGCAAGTTTGTGGTCGAGTTACCGGTATTGTTGTCGCTCTTTATCGCTCCATTCGATATTTCTTATTTGTTGATCTCGGGCGAGACACTCTTTGTCTTTCGGGGTGCGCTTGTAGTGTATTTAAACACTGGAAAATATGTTCATATGGTTAAATTGATTTTATCTTTTATTCATAAAAAGGAATTTAAATAAGGCATATCCATTTATCTTGTAAAATATTTAAATGCTTCAGGATCAGTTGCTCTTTTATGTTTACAATAGTTTACACTTTTGAGTTCAAGACCATAGCGTTCCTACTTATTTGAGACTAAACCATTAAAGTATCTTACAGATAGATTTTAAAAGTATCTTACAGATAGATTTAAGAATATCTTACAGATAGATTTAAAAAGTATCTTATTTTTCCCGTGTACCTATATTTACATCACTCATAACGAGAGACTTGTGGAAATACAGAGCTCGCTGGCTCATTAGTCAACATTCTACAGACTCTGCGCTTTCTTTTTCGCACACATCTTTATCTTTATCGCGGCGAGAAAGGAAATAAAGCAAAATACCTTAAAAGCGAGCCCGGGAAGGAAAAGGTTATTAAACGGTCGCCAATCTCCGTTTCGAGCCCCGCAATCAACGAACGACCTTGAGGGTCATAAGGCGCTGATGTTGGCTTATTTTTCGTATTTTTCTCGGGGTCCGTTAGTAGACTCTCAAATGGTTTTTTGGTTTTCAGCCTGACGCATTCGCTTCAACTTAGTTTTTTTTTTGTACATAGTACGTACAGTTGTTTTTTTGTCTTTTGGTCACCGATTTGCTCTTCGAAAACCTGTTTTTTTCGCCTGCTCTAATGATGGCTGCCGCTGCTGTTTAGTGTCATACCATATGCTACCTGCTAATGGATTTCGGAGAAGCGAACTCAAAGTGAAGCCACAAAGCACCAAAAACCAAATTGTTATTTAGATAAATATTTTGTTAAAGTTTTAGTAAAATATATGTGTCGTGCCTGCTGGAGATCTTCGACTATGTGGCAGAGGATGGAGGATTTCGATTAGCATATGGGCTTGTGGAGTTGCGGGTTTATTATTGTTTTGGTGTGACATTCACTTTGGAGTTGTGAGGCATACATTAAAATACCCCTTCAAGTGGCATTCCCCAGTAGAGAGTTCTCTAACACAACAAGTGAACAATGATGCTCAAGATCATAGAAAAATATTTTCATATTTACTTTACAGAAGAGCGGGATTTTCCATGATGAAATATATGCTATCGATGTCATATTATCATTACATAGAAATATACGAATTTTTTATTTTAAGAACGTATTTATAGCAAGCGTATACGATAATTCACATGAAAGTTCATAGCTAATTAATTGGATTACCGGTTTGGGGGTTGGAACAGACCTACATATTCTTACTGCCATGCTTTTTGTGTTTATTCTTTCATATTAAAATGAAAAAGACCAACAAAATTCCACACCATTTGTCTATAACCCATGTGACGTTCTTCCAATCAAAAGCTTTCAATAAAATTTTCCAATCGGGAGCCTCGCTTAGCAATCACATAACATTTCGCCAAAGACAAGACGTTTAATTAAATTGAAATCAACAGCAATTTAGCTGCCGAAAGAGCAGACAGCCAGAGAGCTTCCAAAAAACTGATTAACACATCGTGTACATGTAGCATAAAGTATAAAGTATCAAAAAGTGGCTTTACACGCATTGAAGTTAACTATTTTCGACTGCATCGCATGTGTGTATTTATCTTCGGGTATATAGCGACTTTTGGTTGCGAGTCGGGCTAGGCTGCTACCGTTTAATGACGACAGCAACGAGTTTTGGCTTTTATTCGTTTCTTTATGCCTGTGCTTTGACGCGATTTATGTCATATCTTATCAATTACAACTGATTAGAGCTGGAACGACGACGAGCGACGGGTAGACTCATCATGAGAGACACCAGCCCAGCCACACATATGCATGTAACCCAAGCCAAGCCAACCCAACTCAACCCAACCCATCCATCCATCTGATTCCCCTTTATCAGCGGGGTCTGAACTAGTTCATGGACAATTTGTAGTCTGGGCTGATCTGTGTTCCCTGTTCTCTGACATGAATCAAATGCGATTAGCTGGCTTCCATAAAACCTAACGATAATGACGTCTCAATTCGAATCTCCCCTCTTGTTTCCAGGGTTCCATAGAGGAATGGCTGCAGCTGTTGCGTCTGGAGGAGTACATTCAGCCGTTACTGGAGCAGAACTACAAGACAGTGCGCGACGTAACCCAAGTGACTTGGGAGGATCTCGAGGACATTGGCATTGTCAAGTTGGGCCACCAGAAGAAAATCCTGCTGGCCATCAAGCGGGTAAAGGACATCATTAGTGGCAAGTGGAACCCAGGCGGCGCCAATGCCTACCAACAGCAGGTGAGAATGGGACTTAAAAATATAGTATACTTATGAAAGTAAACATATTTTTAAGGTCAACATTTTAAGTGAAACAGTAGAATGGGTAAAGAATTGAATAGTTTATGGTCTTATGACTATGTCATGGTGTAAAATGTTAATCATTGGAGAGTTGCTTATGTTAATATCTCTAACAAAATATTTATTTGATTGTCTAATAAAAAATACTCATTAAACACAACTATTATTTTACACTCAATGTTAAAGATAATTTTGTTGTAAAATTTACATTTTTGCTGTACAACATTTTAACTTTTTAAAATAACTCAGTTATGACACCAGCATTTTATTTTTATGCAACTACGGTTTATTATCTTATTTTACAATGTCTTTAATTACTTTTTAAATTTATCTTTTCTATAATTTTTCACTAATTTGATTTTTGCTTCTGCTTGATTTGTATGATTTCCCTTATCTGAATGGTGACCAATCAGGAGTACCAGCGGAAGCCCTGGCAATTCAATGTGCCCATACCCAGTACGCCATCCTATGTGCCAACCACTCGCGTCTCCTGGGACGACACGAAAATCTACGCCACCAGCAGTGTGTTGAATTCCACTGCCCCAGCCGCAGCCCCCAGCTGGATCAACAGCGGCCTCGCCAACGGAGACGCCTACTACTGCACGGGCAGCAATCATGAGTGTTGCTCGGGCAACGATGTGGTGCTCATTAAGGTGGGCACTCGGTCCTCGAAAGTTGAAAAGCTTACCAGCTCGTTGGCCTTGAACTTTTGAGTACCTCCTGAAGTCCTTGCTACGGTCCAACTTCTGCAATTCGAATAAATTCCTTAGAAAAACGTTGGTTTATGAAACCACTTGATGTCATCCCCATTAATTTGTTTTATTTTGTGTTTCAATTAATTGGTTTACATTTTTACTTATATTTGCAATTAAAAAGCAACAAAAGTTACGGTTGAAAAAAGCATTTGATATTTAACTTATAAAGAATAACATTTACAAGAACTTTAATAATATCGAATTAAAAATTGTGTTGCATTTGGAAGATTAACCTGCGGGCTAGGCAGCTAATTAGTCTTGTTAAATTCAAGAAGTTTCACATTGTAATCATCCTCTTATCTTTTTCCGCAGGTGCGACAGCCGCGCGGCAAGAGCCTGGAATCGCTGGAGGACATCCACGACAACAGCACACGCAGCCATCTGACCTTCAGCCATTACACGACCACGGACTACGGCCACTTTGGACCGCCCACAACAGCGGCGGCTGCGGCAGCGATGGCCGCGGCTGCAACGCTCCAGCAGCAGCAGCACCACCATCAGCAGCTGCTCCACCAGCAACAGCAGCAGGCGGCGGCCGCCCGTCTCCTGGGTAGCAATCCGCCGGCCATTGGATGGCGGCGGTCCTACGACGACGGCGACATCACACCCACCAACGATGCCACGAGGGAGCTGCTCTACGAGCAGGAGGGCGGTGGCACGCTGCCGCGCCAACAGCGGGGCATTCTTCAACGGGCGGTGCTAAACACTATGCCGCCACTGGAGCACCACCACTACATGAACGCGGCGGCCGCCGCGGAGTATGGAGCGGCCAGCGGAGTGGAAGGAGGAGCGGTGAGTTGATCGTCTACGGATAACTGGTCTGCGGTTGTTATAGTTACTTTTTTAAAGCACCAAAATTGATTGGTCCTTTTAAACCTTCCTTTCAATAAGACTTCGTAATGGAAATATTTTTTTTGTTTATTTCACTTATCGAACAAGCCTATTATAAAACGTTTTATGACTATATCTATTGCGTAATTGATATGATGATGAAGAATCGACTTTAATGTTATCATACTATCATATCTATATACGTTTTATAAAGGAATGGTACAAAGATGTACGTCATATGCTTCAATTGTGAATTTGATGGGTTCAGTTACTTAATTGAAAGGAAATAGAAGCCGTTTTTAGTCTGAAAAATATTAAAATAGCAATCGTGGCCAGAAACCCTAATACCCCCTTAGAAAACTGTATTTACTAATGGTTCCTCTTTTTGCAGAATTATCTGAGCGGAAGTCCTTTGACCGGCAAGAAGATAGCTCCAGAGCCACCCAGACGCCACTGCAGCATACGCAACTCCCGCACGCTGAGCGGAGAGGGAGTTCCGCCGGGATCGGTTGCCCAGGTGCATCAGCAGACAGCCCAACAGCAGCAGCAGCAGGCACAGCACATGTTCTATGGCCACACGGGGCAGCACTGGCAGCAACAGCAGGCGGCGGGAGCGGGGAGTGGTCAGCAGCCCATCTACGCAAACTATGCCACCATTCAGCAGACCACGGCGGAGATACACTGCGAGAAATATCACGACAATAAGTCGACTTCCAGCATCGATTCCATTGACACGATACCGTTTGCCAACGAGAACACAGGGACGATCAAGCAGCGTCTACTCAACCGCCAGGAGTTGCAGGGCGGCGGAGCGGGCACAAACAATGCCCCTGGCGGCGGCGGGGGTCATCCCGTTCACCTGCACTCCTCCAGCTCGAGCTCCAGCTCCTCCTCCACGAATACCATTGCGAACATAGCGCACTCGTTCCACTCGCTGAAATCTTCCAGTTCGCTGCATGATGCAACCTTGGCGCGGAGTGAAAGCATGGGTAGCACGGCCAGCGGTGGAAGTGCCCTGCACCTGCGCTCACCCACTTTGGATATGTCCAATTCCGGAGGATCAGCGGTTGAGGCCATAAGTTCGCCGGACTCCGTTGTTCCAGCAGTGGCCATTAACAGCGGCGTTCCGCCGAAAGTTTCGGTGAACGTGCTCAACGACATAGGCAACATGCTGGCCAATCTCACGGACGAACTGGACGCTATGCTGGAGGAGGAGAAGCGAGTGGGCCTCAACATAGACAGTGAATAAATCTCCAATCAAACAACAAATTGTAGTGTAGCTGAATTTTCCGGTAGAACTTGTGGTGTATCTTGTAACGTTTTATGTACTTCAACTTAGTTAAGTTCAACTTGTTTTTGTATTTGTTATTCCGATTTCGTAGGAAAGAAGATTCTTGTTTAGTTGTATTACGTATCATTTCGATATACACATTGTGTAGTAAAGAGTAAACTAAAACTGAAAAGCTTTCGACGAACCATGTATACTTTTGTACTTTTCCTAAACTCTCTCGTCCCATTCCCAACAAAATATGAGTGTTAACAATTCAAAATGAAAATATCCAAGTAAACGATGAATGGTAAAAGAAGCGAAACATGCATATATGCAAAAATTGCATAGTTATTATATAGCATAAAATATAATTATATATATAAATAAATATTTAAACAAAATCATTTATATGGACAAGTATTTAGTGGTCTGATACTATACGACAGAGAAAAGCAAGGAATGAACCACAAGGCACACTCTTAAACACACACAATTAAAATCAGACAAGAACTACTATTTAGGATCCCCTTCAGACAATTTCAAATTGCATTTATCTATAATTTTTCATTTTTTTTCTATTTACACTTTTTTTGAATCAGCCTGCACAGACATTTTTCTGTTTGTTATGATTACAACTGAAATCAAACTATATGAAATGAATGTATAATTAAGTGTTATTCCATACAAAGTAAAAAGATGCATTATATAAAATATAAATATTATATTAGCGTTATATTAAGCAAGCAAGAATAGAAAGAGGAGATCGAATCCATCTTTATAAATTATGTTTAAACGGGCATTGATGCTGAATAACGTATAGAATTCCGTGGTATACACTCAAATTGCCTTCTTCTTTATAATTTACATAAATAAAAATCTTTTAGTAAAAACATTTTGATTTTGAGAGCATTTTTAGTTTCCTGTTAAATGCGCTCAGTTGAAAAATTGTTTGGTGCGCATATCATTAGAGGAAATTGGAGTATTCGATTTATAAACGCATATAAGGAAACGTAAAAGAATTAAATACAAATCAAATCACAGACATGTAAAGCACATAAAGGGCAAAACAAAAATGAAGAAAACCAATAACAAATAAAGTAAACTTTCATAGTAAAATGTTGTGAATTTTTAAAATATTTTTTGTTGTTCACAGAAAAGGGGTAAAGCCAAGTCGCATTTATCATAGCGGTGACCTTTGTGTTTAGCTGCAAGGGTAGTCGTTCCTATTCTTTTTTAATTAGAATTTAATTGTCGTTTTGGTTTTAAATTTAAACAGTACGTTATTATAAACAGAGTTACGTATTACGTAAAAAACGTAACGTAACGGTGTCAAGCTCGGTAGTTAGCGAGTACCATCACCTTGGTATAGAAATTAGCTAACTAGCAGGGACACAAGGCGGAACCAGGGATACAATTGTTATCGATAGTTAGCGGGGACATGAATAGCCGATATTTTGAAAATGTCGATGGCATCGACGGTTGCGCACCGCTAGATATTTCTCCACCTTCGCCGCGGTCGGACGCGTCTTTAATTTTTAGGATAGTTTAGCATTTGTAAGCGTAATAATTGAATATATTTGTGCTGAGAGCAGAGGAGAAGGTGAAAAGCCGCGTGCCCTGTCTGTTGTACCGTTTGTCTTGTTCACTTTTATCGTAATCGCGCGGGTCAGTCGTCCGACTCTCCTCTTTCGTATTTAACTTCATTCTAAAACGTAAAACGCAAATGAAATAGTTGTTTTAATATTGCTGTTGTCGCGTAACAAATTACCAGTTAAAACGGCCAACACCAATTTACATAATATTGGGAAAACACAGAAAAATAAATAACAAAAGACACACACGAGCTAGCAAATTGATAGACGGAGGATGTGTGTGTGTGTGTAAACAACGAGATCAAATAGCGAAATGCAAAAGTGTTTTTCAATTGAAAAGCGGGCGACAGAAAAGTGAAAATTAACGCGATTGGCGACGTATTTGCATTTGGAAACGGAATCAGTATAAACCAGTGAAAATGTCGAGCGCAGAAGAAGGCGAGCTGGATCCGCAAATTCAGGTGATTTAATTTGGCAATTTGCCTACTGTCCTTCATACTTTCCCCTGTCTTTCTCCCTCTTTCGTGCCTGGCACTAAATTGAACGGTATTATGACGACAATAACAAAAATCAGGCTGCTTTGTTTTTGCTCTGTTTGTTAGTTCTCTCTATCTATCTCTTTCTTGTTCTCTTTTACAATGCACATTTTGATGGTACAGTGCTCACTCGATACATTGACAAAACCACCAAGGGTGTTTACTGTAACAAACGAGAAACAAAACATTAAACTTTGACTAAAGTATTTACTTTTTCAATAAAGAGCTCAGCCTTTGGGGGAATAGGAAACAGCCGATTTTGCATTCCATTTCGTTACTCATTTATTGCATGAACCTTTTTTACGCTTTGTTGGTTTTCAATACCCAAAAAGAAAAAAACCAACACAGAAAATCAATTTACACAGCATTTAAGCAAATTGCAAGTTTCCTTTTCCAACGAATCGATTCAATATGCATTGTGAAATACAAAACAAAAGGCAGGAAAAAGGGAGTACACGGAGCTGTGTCAAGTAATCCCACGCAGTTCCCAGTAATTTGGGTTTTTTTCCTCTATGAATTTGAACTCGGGTACCTAAATGAGATTCAAGTGCAACTTGGTTATTGCTCTTTATCTTTTGCCCCTTCTTTTTTGCTCCTCTCTTCGCATTTTTGGGAGAGGTATGCATACAAATTTAATAAATTGAAATACCAAAGCGCACACGCAAGTCAAAGCACCAACAAAAACAAACGCCTTTTGTTTTTATTATACCCTTGCAGAGGGTATTATAATTTTGGTCAAAAGTGTGCAACGCAGTGAAGGAGACATCTCCGACCCTATAAAGTATATATATTCTTGATCAGGATCACCTCCTGAGTTGATATAGCCATGTCCGTCTGTCCGTCTGTCCGTCTGTCCGTCTGTCCGTCTGTCTGTCCGTCTGTCTGTCCGTCTGTCTGTTTCTACGCGAACTAGTCTCTCAGTTTTAAAGATATCGAATTGAAACTTTGCACACACCCTTCTTTCCTTTGCACGCAGTATATAAGTCGGAACGGCCGGGATCGGCCGACTATATCCTATAGCTGCCATATAACTGAACGATCGGAAATGCCATAACTTTGGTGTTTGTAAAGTTAGGAAGTTGGGATTTTCTATGGGTTTTATATTTGGCTAATCAATCCGACATGCCGAATTTCATAAGGATCGGCCGACTATATCCTATAGCTGCCATATAACTGATTGATCGGAAATGCCATAACTTTGGTGTTTGTAAAGTTAGGAAGTCGGCATTTTCTATGGGTGTTATATTTGGCCAGCCAATCCGACCTACCAAATTTCATAAGGATCGGCCGATTATATCCTATAGCTGACATATAACTGAACGATTGGAAATGTCATAACTTTGGTGTTTTTAAAGTTAGGAAGTTGGGATTTTTTATGAGTATTAAGAATGCATCATATGAATAATTTTGGAGAATATAATTTACAGAGTATTCTGCAAGGGTATATCAACTTCGGCTCCGCCCGAAGTTAGCTTTCCTTTCTTGTTTTTATGTTGATTTTATTTTTATTGTGTAAGGCAGACAATACAATGTGTCTTGAGTCGCAGTTTGCATAAATCAAGATTTATATGCTGCTCATTCAACTACGCAAAATAATCGCACACTTGCTTAATGGACTTAAATGGAAAAAGTATGAATCTTTATTAAAAAAACATTTCCTCTTGATAAAATTTAAATACTTAACTATTATTACTGTTCTAAGTTTGAAAATCACATTACGTGTCAGAAAACTGAATGTTTATTTCGTTATAAATCTTCATTCAATAGTTTCCAATAAAATTTTACAGAGTCATTCTATAAACTTAGTATTGCGTTATAGCCGTTAAAAAAACCTTAGCCAAGGGATAAACTGAACAAATATTCCCATTGTGAATCCCCCTTGGGAGACAAAAGAAAATCTTGCTGTAGACCTCCAATAATATTATCTATTTTTAAATTCAAATCCTAGTGGGAGACGTCACACGCGGCGCAAAGTCATTAACAACATTAGATACCCAACCACACAAGACGGCATGTGACTAGATTGAAGCCGTCGATAATGTCCAAAAGTATATGTATGGGAAAATATATAGGAGGGTACACTTGAAATGAGTGATAGAAACCGCTCGTTTACAATAAACAATCATTAGAGTGCCTCTATAAACAAAGTTTGCTATGCTAAATTGTAGTGAAACCAGTTTGTATATTCTCAGAAAGGCAACAAATACATGCTATATTACCAAAAACGCTAAATATTTTGCTTTTGCTATTTTTGCCTTCTTTCTCAATGTTTTTTATGCTCGACTTCCTCTTTAGACAAAGTCGTTGTTGTTGTTTTTCTTGCCTTCAATTTGCCAATGATTTATCAATGAGTATTGTTTTCCTTTTTTTTTTTTTGCGCGTGCAAATTTTGTTATCTTCAAAGATTTTTTGAGTTAATGACGACAACAATAGAAAAAGAATTGATAGTGCGGCGATGATAGCGCAAAGTCTATTTGACTTAAATCGTGTGTCTATACAGATGTTTTTTTGCTTCCACTAAATTATTTGTTTACTTTATTTTTATACACAATCCCACACGCGTCACTTAGCTGAAGAATAGAGGTATTTGCGTGCTTTGAGATTATTTTTCTTCGCCGCAACTTTCTAAAGCCAAACGAATGCATAATTAAGCGTTACTTATCGATTAGACGATAATTGCTTTAATACATAAACAAAGGGGCCTTTTCTTTTGATTGCCAGAAATTAGTGGAAAAAGTTTAGCAACAATTTAAAAATAATTTTTCGCCTTGCCCCATTTGATAATGATAATTAGATTAGCAAGGGAAACTTTGGGCGCAAGTCAAATTGATAAAAATTAAAAATGACTAATGACATTTGGCTACCTGGTGCTCAATTACGTAACCAAGGTGAGAGTTCTGGTGTCGCGAATTAGAGAACTCAAGTGAGGCGTCTATGAATCAGAAAATCATGTTCGATAAATGAGTCAACGTTTATATTATATTCATATCTCAGGAGTCCCCCTAAAGTCTATATGATATTTTGTAAGCTTATCTAATATTATGAATTGTGCTTAACTTGCAAGTTCATTTCTACGACTCCTCATATATAAAGCATTTACTTTTAACCAATAAGATTTTCTCAAGAAGTTCTTCAATTTTTTAGTTTTTATTTAAAGTCGGAATGCTGTTAAAAATTCGCTTTTACTGTGGGGAAAAAAAAATTTTCAATTGTGGCAGCGGTGGGATTCGAACCCACGCCTCCGAGGAGACTGGTGCCTTAAACCAGCGCCTTAGACCGCTCGGCCACGCTACCCACAATTATTGAATGTCAGAAGCGCTTCTCATCGCAAATCCCATATTCCCATTTATTTATAGTGAACAAAGCAAAACAATTGTCGGAAGTTTATTGAATAGCATTCCAGTTTGTGAATGGAACAAAATAAAAAATATTAAAAGCAGCTTGGATTTGCACTTGCATAAATAAACTACCTCTATCAGAAGGTTTGTTTTCTCAGTTAACCGAACGTTTTGTAACCTTTCGACGGGTGCAATCCCCCAGGGGTTCCTCAACCACCACCATCATCATCATTATCATTATATTATAGTCAATGATGCATAACACAGTTGCGACTTTCGTCGAGCGGTTACCGCACTCATTTTTCAGCCTTAATGAATTAAGTTTGGCTTGGCTTTGTTCGCTCGTCGGAATTGTTAATGACATTCAATGATTGGGGCTTATGCAGTTGAACTAGGCAGTCATTTCCTGCTTTATCAAATCAGTCGAGATAGCATTTTTAGAGGCAATCTTATCAGTCATGAACTTGTATCAATTGTACAAATATACGGACCATTTCAAGAGCTTCATAAAGCTTGTTTGAAGCTAAATTGAGTTTAGTTGACCTTTGATTCTAAATTGCTTGGTCATATCATAAAGAGAAAGCTGAGAATATAACTTAGCATAGCAATTGAAAATAATTTGTTCAAAGTGGGTCAGCCACACGAATTCTACAAAACTATACTTATTTGTCCGTTCTTTTTTTGGCTCGCTTTTTGGTTTACTTTTTTTCCAAGTTGACATAACTCTAATTAAAAATAAAAAACTTTATGCGGTCAATTGCAATTGTCAAGCTACGTTGACTGGATTTTCGGGTCGCCGACATTCACTCACGCATCGCCGTTGTGATTTTCCTTTATATAACTATTTTTTGGCCTACCACCAAAGACTTTCTCAACAGTGCCACTTTTGTTTTATTTTTGCCGTAAGTTAAGGGGTTTTTCCATACAATCGTCGCATTATATTCGTCCTATGACGTACATTTCCGCCTGAGTTGAATGTCCTACGAGTGCCTGAGACTTCCTTTTTTGTTGCGCAAGGCAAATCGATGTAAATTTCATGTTGGTTTCCATTACAGTTTCTTCTTTGCCATTTTGCCAAAGTCTGCCCAGAAAAGAGGGGTGGTTTTCTTGGAGGCAGGGGAGAAAGCTGTCACCAGCAGATGTAGGTCAGGTCAACGTAGTCGGCGGAGGCATCACGCCACCGGCACAAAGGCCAGCTGGCGTCATTGCGGAACTCTGAAAAAATCGACCGGGAGGGAGTGGCGGGAACAAAGGGGTGCTAGGAGTAGGGAGCAGAACATGGTGAGTGGTTGGGATAAGCTAATAAACTAATCATATGATATCTAATAATGAGGTAGGGTGTTGCCATTTAAGGGGTGGAAAAGGTTGCGCTAGGAAAATGTTGTAGTCATGCATACTATTTTAAAATAAATGTCTTAATAGGCAGTTGAATTTGTAATCCACGGCTTTGCTGTTAAAAATTTATAACAGATCGAAACTTAAAACCTCGATATATTACACTAATTTAATTATAGCAATGTATCCATGTCTGTTTGAGAACATCACCTGAGACTGACGTGTTACTAGCCAAACAGTCGTCATCCTCGATTTTATCCGTCTAGGAGTAGGTGTAGGAGGCGCCCTCGTGTCTGACGAATTGCTTTGGATCCTAACGAGCCGCTCTCACGTCATCTTTTTCTTGGTATTCCTCTAGCCAAGGGACGCTCCTGGCTATAACCTTTAGCATTTGATTGGCTTTATTCATAGACTGTGACTCAAGTTGAGCTTTAGCTGCCCTTTAACAACGCGAGTCTGACGAATGCAAAATAAAATCCACGCCAAAGCGTCCGCATATCGCGTGATTTGGTAACGTTTCAGACCAGACCTCGTTCCATTTGGTTTTGACCCTGTGGATAGCTTTAAATTTAACGTTTAAAATCAATAATTGAAGGGGAGTCTTACTGATGAAATTATGTTTGTTAGATTTTATTTACTTTTCAGCAAACAAAGCCCTTTTCATTTCAAATTTTCCCAGAATATTTCAATTAAGTTCTTTAAAAATATTCCCCGTATTTACACAATCTTCTTATCCCAATTGCATTTTGTATGTTTGTACGTGAAGTTGTGAAAATATTTATTCAATTTGCGTCGTCATTTCAACATTTAATTTATGCACAATACTTTTTTATTTATTTGATGATAATCAAATATTTTTCTGCCAGCCACACACAGCTGCCTTGACGGGTAAATATGTTAACCTTTTTTCCAGTATTTACAATTGAATCGCATTGTAATAAAATGTTTTTATGGTATTTACTCATTTGATTGTGCGTCATTGGCGAAGAAGGGTATATACGCTATATGCGCTTTAGTGATGAGGTCTAGGGCCCCAAGTTTTACTTACCTTTGCCTGAGTTTTTTTATCCAACTTATTCAATTGCATGGCAAACTGTTAAAAAGTGAAGGGCGAAACAAGTGAACTTTTCATTAGCCAATAGGTTCGTTAGGCAAACGCAGCGAAATGCACCAAACTAGTTCCTTGGGCTGCAGAATTCCTGGATAGTTCAAGTGTTGAAATGTTCATCTGCGCCGGATGCCCAAACTGGTTTCGTTTGTTTACACGAAAAAACCAGTTTCGGTATTTTAGAGGTTCGCTCGCACTTGGCTCGGTTGGTCTTGGCTCTTAAATCAATCTCGATTACAGCGGCAACTCGAGCATGCCCTTACCAAAACCCCCGCCATCATCTTTAGTTTTATGCATGTCCGGGATGTGGAGAAATGTTCAACGGACACGATAAAAATCAAACTGGGACAGCCTTAATAAAAGCTGCCGTAAAAAAAGGGGCATACAAAACGAACAAAAAAATTATAATTAAAACCAGTTTTTCGACCACAATCTGGTGTGGGTCCCGAACCGAAATTCCAAAAACAAAAAAGCCTTAAAAGTCCAAACAAAAAACTGTAACCGCATGCAGTTCACCGATCCATGAACACCAGCCCGCCGGCTGTCTTCATGTAAATGATAAATCTACAAACGAGAAACCTGACATTTACAAATACCACTAATGTTCAACTTTTTAATTACTTCAAATATTATTTGGCGCTGCTATATTAATATGCCCATAAATTTCAACTTGTGTTAAAATATGTAGCTAATAAAAAGAACATAAATCAACTCAAGATAAACATGACTAACTGCACTTTCGATTTTGAAACACATTTTATCTATTAAAAGTTTGAGTAATTCAAAATTTAATCTTTATAATTTATAGCCTTTGGATAAGTAAATTCATAAATGTTAAAGCTCTTTATAGCATTTATAGAGTCATAAATTATAAATGTTTTTCATAAACAAAAAAATTTCATTTGCTGATTTAGAGGTCCCTTTTTTGTTAGTCTTTTTGTTTAAAATACTTTATCCACTGTTTGTTGGAAGTTTGAGTCACAGATCCAAAACGAATTTAGACCTACGACTCGAATGAGATAAATATTTTATAATACTCAAAATCCAGCAAGGGTGTGGCTTTTTAAAATTGTGTTATCGTAACTTTAAAGCTGTCTGCTATAAATGCAATTTCATGTTTTAAGTTCAGCTATCTTCCCCTCTTGGTAAATGCGTCATTAAAAATATTCTGCGTTGGCATTTAGATATCAAGAATCCTCATTCAAATATTTGTTTTTTTTTTAACATTTTTGTATATTTGTTTAACCTTTCGTTTTAAGTATTTACAAGGCTTAGGAACTACTTAAATGATCGCTGGACTACGAATACATTTTCAGAGGAAAATAAAATGCATTGACAAAGAATACGAAACAGAATATCTAAACGCTCGAAACTAAGGACAAGGCAGCCATATGTTGTGGGTTAGATTTTGTTTGTTACTGGGCTGTTGTGACTCTCATGGCTTTTGCTTGGACTAACTCTAGTCACAGGATGCGGGGAAACAGGCATCTAGACGAACTCATAGCCAATGCCAAACTGGAAACCATTTAGGACCTTATCCGAGGTCTGACGTCGCACTGGCACACAATAGTTAAGTTCAATCCGGGCTCTTTCGGCTAGCTTTACCGCCAGTCCCATACCAAAGGCACTTCGCATATTTTCTATTAGGAAAGTTATTATTAAATCCAAGTTATAAGAAAGGAAATAGAATTAACAAACCTGTGCTGAAATTATTGCTGTTGCCAATGTTGTAGAAGAAATGCATTCTAAAGTGGCTGGCCAGGTTCTTGAAGACTCCGGCGAAGGGAAGCGGTGCCCACAGATGGGCACCTGTGCACCAGAAAGTCTGTGCTCCAATGGGTGTGCCCTCAATCACGGGACCAGCTCCTCCAAATTTAAATCCTCTGAGGGTCAGGGGACCACCGCAGTAGAACAGCGAGTTAATTGGCAGCTGTGTGGTGTTTTTGGTCTCTTTAACGACACCAACGCGACCGCAAAACTGTGCCACCAAACCGGCAAACAGCGGCACATTTAATTCTCCGTGGGCAGTGCTGCTGGTGTAGGCGATGTTGCCGCCCAAACCGCAGTATTCGTTAACTGATTTTAGGAGCACACCGCGGGTGGGGAATACGGTGGCATCCCGATTGTCAAACAAAACGGAGTAGCGCAGCAAAGAGGCCAATTTCGGTCCACAATGGTCGCGTATGGCGAAGGGCACTGATTTATTGAGTAGTCCCACATCTCTAATCGAGTTCTCATACTGCAACGAGTGAGTCAACTAAAAAGGAAGAAAAAATGTAATAAAAAAACGGATTTCCTGCTAATGTGGTTGACTTACATCCACTCCAACCATGGTATGTGCCGAGAAGTCCACCGTATACCCTATGTTAGTCGATTGAAATGAGCTAATGTCAAATCTATCCGTTTGTCTAAAAATGCTGAAAGATAATCTGTAGAAAGTAGATAATATTATAAGTAAAGATGCGGCCGAGAGGAGTACACAAGAGATTCTTACTCAGGTCGATTCTCCCTGAAGCGTGTGTGAAAAAAGGGTTTCCAGAACTTCAATTGTAGATCATTGGCCCTGGTGCTGCTATAGCTGCCCTGAAGTGAGATGCTCTCGCCACGGCCCAGAATATTGGGAATAGTCAGCTCCGTTCGCAAGGAGCCCTCGTTCTGACCAATTTCCGTGCCCGCAGATCCTATCATGCGTGACATTTCGTTGCCCTTAAAGGTCACCTCGTAACCCTGTGGTGTGGCATCCGCACCACGGCTAATGTCAATGTGCACGCTCACATCCTTGAAGATGCCCAGCTCGTGCAGATACGACTTGGTGGACATGGCCTCCAGCATGAGATCCTGGAAGTTGTTAGTCTTAAATAGTCCATCCGCCGCCCTCATCACATAGTCGTTGTGGGTGCGCAGCAAACCGCTGACATTGACGCGATCCACGCGAGTTGAGATCTTGCTCAGGTCGTATTTAGAGTCCTTGGACGCGGGCCCGTCGCGACCCGACTGAGGCATCTTGCTGATTTCGGTGGGCAGGCGTTAAGCAAATACTAAAAAAAGGAAACTTATTATAGATTTACTCATATAATAACAAAAAATACTAATTATAAAATATATTTGGTTTGCAGATTGAACTGGAGAATCTCAATAGTGCTACCGATGAGATTAATAAACTAGAAATTGAACTAGAGGTAAGTCAAAAGTCATTCCATATTTTGGAGTAGAAATTGTAATACTAAACACTCTTTTTTTATGGTTTCAAAAGGAGGCCAATGTCACGTTTCGCATCCTGCTGAATGAGTCAACGCGCCGCCTGAAGTTATCCTCCAAGAAATTGGGCAACTGCATAGAGAAGGCTCGACCTTATTACGAGGCTTTGGATAAGGCACGCGAGGCACAAATCGAATGCCAGCAGGCGGCAGTAAAGTTCCAACGAGCTAATGGTTGGTATTTAATAAATAAATAGTAAACAAAACACTAAGTAAACTCAATCCTTTTAGAAATCCATGCCGCGGCCAAAGAAACGGTGGCCCTTGCCGAGCAGCGTTTTATGTCCAACTCACACGAATGGCAGTTCGACAATGCCTGGCAGGAGATGCTCAACCATGCCACACAAAAAGTAATGGATGCGGAGACCCAGAAAGCCGACTGTCATGCTGAGCACCAGAGACGCACACGGCTCTTCCACACAGCCGAGCAAAAACTTCAGCAGCTGGAGGATCGCTTTCGGCGGAGCATCAACAAGTCGCGGCCGTACTTCGAGGAGAAGCAGGTGTGCCAAGATCAGCTGCAGACGCAGAAGAATCGCATCCAGGAGCTGCAGCAGCATGTGGCGGGTGCCAAGAGCACCTACTCCACGGCCTTGCGTAATCTGGAGAGGATCAGCGAGGATATACACAGGCAGAGGGGCGATTTTCCCACTCCGCCAGGACCCCGGGAGCCGGGTGTGGGAGCGGAGTTGAACTCGCCGACTTCCAGTGCCCTGCCATCGCTGCCGGACTTCCAGCTGGAGCTGGAGAAGTGCGACTATCCCTCCATAGCAGGCAGTCAGATGTCCTTGGGTGTGAAAACTCCCCATGCAGCTGCCGAAACTGAAGATGAGGAGGACGCCTGCGACTACGATGAGACGGGAGCGGGCGAACTGAGAGGTGTGGTGGATGAACGGGACTTGGAGGCCCTACGACAGAAAGTCAAGATCCTGGCAGTGCGTCCCATTGAGGGGGGAGATGGTCAGCAACAGAACGACGTATGGGAGCATGAACTCAAGGACACAGTGGATAAACTGGACCACTTGATGATGCTTAAGGAAACGGCCAAGAGGCAGCAAGCAAACCGCTTGAAGTCCACCGAACAGCGACCCGATTCTCTGGGTGCCGAGGCCCTGAAACGTCACTGCGATGTGGTCGAGGTGAAGGTCACCACATGCGCCACCACCGCTAGCTTGCCAGTCACACCCCACCACCAGATAAATCACCTTGCACCGCCCACGCCCATCAAGAAGCTGCAACAGCAGCTGGCGCCCTTGCCCTCAGTGAATGTATCCATGCGGGAGTTGCCCCTGTTGGCCAGGTTATCCAACGAACTCCTGGATCGCAGCAGTGCTGCCTTCGGAGGAGTGCGCAAGCAGTTGCGCAGGCGCTCCCTGGAATAGTGAGCACCACGGGGGCAGTGGAGTTTTTTCCAGCCAGCCCCATATCAGATTTGTTTATATTAAATGAAATGGATTGTAAAACGTTAAACGCCGCATTTAAAAGTGCACCACTCTCAATAAGTCTACACCTACATACTATATACACCATCTATTTTCGTATAAATGTTGAATACATTCTAATCTATTGTCTCCGGATTTGTTTCTCACTGTTAATACTTTAACTATGTAAATGTTTTGTGATTCGAGAGAGCAAAATGAAAAGAATTGATTGATATGCAAACAATAAGCAGTTTTAAGTTAATGTTTAAACCTTAAACTAAAAAACCAAGCAGACTCACTAATTTAAATCAAATGGGCACATGCACTAAATAGTTTAGCCTATAAATACCACAAATGGAACTTTAAATAAAATAAAAGTGTCGAAATGTAACGAATTCAATTAGATAATTAAGTGTGAAACTCTCAAAGAAACATGTAGTGGATTGCAAAATAATGATTCAAAGTTATGATCGGTGCCCTAGAGTAAGGGAATAGAAGTATTTGCAACATGATGAATAATATTAAAACTTGAAATAATAATAAAAATGGCATTCTAATTCGATTCGACGTGATTTTACTTGTACTGGTTTGTTTGTTATTTTTATGAAGTCTTGGATTAAACTTATCATCAACTTAGCAACATTTGGTCAGGTACTTCTGCCATTTGGTTCAAAATAAATTAACAACTTGAATAATGAAGCTAGCAAGCGTTTTTAAGGTATAACTTTGGATGTTTTGGGTTGGTATGTGGGGCACTTTTTAAATTTAGTCACCGAAACCTTAGAGTGCGTTTTCAATGATGCAACTGCAGCCGAAACAGTGCTATGATTATTAAAAACACAAAACTATAATGTCAGATGTTCTAAAAATCTGGCATGATGTCATTTTCGCTGCATTTGAAGCCAAATCTATTGGGGCAAAACAAAATATTCTGTCCCCAAATTATGTAAGCCCGTTTTTGTCTACAATCGCAATCAGCTGACCTACCTTCAAATTGGTACTGCCTCTGCTGGTGAGTGGGCACACGCGAATTTTGGATTTAGTTTGACTAGTGTTTTAATAACTACAAAATATATAGCACCGGGCGCGAGCACAAATATTTCCAATTACTTTCGACTGAAACGCGTGCGGCACCGAAAATCAACAAGCTGCTTCTTCTTCTCCCACAGTGTTGCCAACTGTTTAGGGAGGGAAATAGCCAGATAAGCATTTAAAATGAGACAGAAATTTGTAAATCTAGAAAAATATCCGAAACAGCATGTTCTTATCAATAATTTCTTAGGCTAGAATATATTTATTCGCGATAATAATTTTTTTGGCTGTGTAGCGCTTGTTTATTGTACATAAATTAATACAAAATATAACATAATAGTGGCATAGCGGTAAAATAGCTAAAGGAGCATCTCTAAAAGTTATTCGATAAATATATTCGATAGTCGATATCCCAAGTAAACGGTCACACCTAAAATGGCACATAAATATTTAAAAATGAACGAGTTGATAAAAAACTTGACAAACAAATTCTAAAACCCGGAAAAATTTCCAACACAAAATAATCCTTGCCCTTTGTAAACTTCATTAGAAACATTAAATAACATTAAATTGCTAATACATTGCCTCCAGAGGCATGTTTTATTGTAAAAACATTTCCTAAGCTAAGCAATTACAACTATCAGCCCTATGGTTTTTTGACTTTGGTGCATCTAATACCTTTTGACTGCAGCTTTCGCATTATGTCCAGGGTCTCTTGGTTTTTGGTTGGATTTTGTTCACTTGAGGGATTTACATTCAGTAGGGTATTTCCCCGTTTCACGTCCACACCGCAGGCTCTCAATTTGTTGAGGATTTTTTGGGTGCCATCGATGGGTGGGCTTTCCAAGGGTGGAGATTCATTGAGAACTGCATTGGGAGGAGCAGGTTTTTGAGATGTGTTAGGAGGAGGTTTTTCAGATGCCACTGGAGGAGCTAACTGGGATGTCCTCGGAGCAGGTAATTGTGAAGTCTTTGCAGCAGATAAGTGTGATGTCCTCGGAGCAGGTAATTGTGATGTCCTGGCAGCCCTTGAACGCGTTTCATTTGGAGATTCCGACACTTTAGGAGCTATACTCTTCTTTTCGGGCGACTCCTGCAGACGCTTTAGGTCCTCCAGAACATTGGGCACCAGGATGGTGTCTTTTTTCGTTTTTGCCGTTGGTGGATGCGGCGAAGGAAGGCTGATACGTGACCTTCGCTGCTGCTGGGCAGTCAGAATGGGTCGGCGGAGATCGCTAAGGCTACGCTGACGTTTGGTGGGCACCACCTCCATTTCCGGCGGCTCCTCGGTCAACTGAACTAGATACTCCTTTACCACATTCTCCTTGGACTTAGTTTTGGGCAGGGTTTGTACAGCGGGCTTGGGGTCGGTGTACCAGCGCGGATCCTCCAGTTCCGCTTCCCAGTCGATGACGCTGTTGGCACTGATAGAACTCTTCACAGCCTCAATGTCATAGATGTAGAGCTGTAAAAAGCGTTCGTTAATATCAGGATTCTCAAGAAGTTTCAAAGGAAAACCTAGTTATAACATGGCCCATGTTCTACCTAGTTGTTTTTATGAATCCTTACCTCCTGCCTGCCATTAACCAGTCTCGTTTCCCGCTTGGTTTCATCGTAGGTGAGTGGATCAACCGGCGTTACTATATGTTTAAGGCCCGAGCAGTCGGTTAAGTGGTTTTGGAACGATTGGAACGTCATAAAGTGGCGTTCGCAACTACGGCACAGTGTTAAAAGACGTTTCTGCTCGTCGTACAATACGTCGCCCAAGCGAATGGTCTTTAGGGACTTTATTTTACGTGTTCCATTCATTTCTTCTCAGCGAAATCGCGCCAAGATAGAAAAAAGTGTTAAAAAATCGCCAGTTTGTTTTGCCTAATGTTTGCTAGTGAGGCCAGGTGGCGTTAGTGAAAAGATACCGATTATATCTGGTTAGTATAAAAGTGCACATAAAAATACTACGTATCCACTACATCAAAAGATAATATGCGCGCAAAGTTTCAAATTCCAAACAAACTTTGTAGGATATAATAAAATAAGATCCAACTAAAATTAGATTGAAAGCCCATTAAAATGCTTTGATTTAATAAAGAACTCAGAACGTCAAAAATGTCCTTTTATTAAACTCTTTGGATTTAATTTTGATTGGAATTTTATTGTTTAAAATCAGAAATAATACAACTTATATAAATTCCTAAAGGGTTTCAGATCTTTCATTAAATTTGAGAAAAATTAAAAATTTCTCTGAAAAACTGAAAACTCTGAAATAAGGTGATAGTACTCCGTAAGTTGGCCTGTATCATAAAGCACATTTTATAAAGTTCGAAGTAAATAATTTGCAAAGTACTTTAAAGATACCCGCTTGGCAGTTTTTCATCAAACCTACTGACAACAACTATTGAAAAGAAAGTACCAGTGATTTTATTGGAAAATGTTCTCTTCGCTCTTTGCTGTTATTAATATTATGTCTTTTGTTTCTTTTAGATTACCAAATGACTGAAAAGCGCCTTCATCGTTTTTTTTTTTGTGCTGAGCTGGCTTTTGTTGCCTTTGATTAACGCCCATGCAATTGAAATTAAATCGCTTGCAAATGATTCGCATGGCAACTAAAAAATTGGAGAATCAGAAAAATGCCATCGTTTATGCAGCCAGGGGCTGTGCCATTTGTAAACTTGGCTCTTTTTTCGACCGATGCGGAGCCATATGCACGGCACATTGTCTGATTTTGACTCCAACTCTGATGTCTGTCTAGTGGGTGGAAAAAAAAGTGTAAATGTGGGTGGACCTTTAATTTTTTGCGTGTCCCGACACTGGTATATTATAATTTTTTGTAATGTTCCGTATAACGAGCACGGTCCATGTGTCGGACCACGTGCGGCATAATCACCTGCCAAAACGAAGGTGAGTATCGTTGGCATATTCTTGATATTTTTCATCCTGTGCCCCATTTTCTCCCTTTTTCTGTTATTCCTGGGACTTAAAAATGGAAACTTTAAAGGGACGCATCGCTTACACCAGGAAATTGTATGGATTGGGGGGGAGAGGGCAGGGGGGTTCAATTGGATGAAGTTGCCGATGCTGATGAGGCTTCTGCTCCTGTAGGGCAGTTTCTCCTGTAGTTGCTATTCCTGCATGCAATTAAGCCAGGGACGAGGCACAACTTGCCACTCTGTGTGTGTGTGTGTCCCAAAACTGCAAGCTGACCATGCAAATTACGCCGCCCACACTCATACTTGCACTACCACTGCCATGCACGCATTCCTGTCGCCTCGTTTGGGGGTTTTCGGGGGTTCCCCGGCGTTTGAGTGATGCACCGAGTAGAGTAGAGTCGTGTCGAGTCGACTCGTGTCGGCCAGCCAAGGAGGCAACTAGCTAGCTGGGCCAGAACTACTGCCACTGCCAAAGCTAAGTTAAATGGACCTGCGGTGCACTCGAGCAGCCAGCACACAAACTACAGTCAATACTCTCTAAAGTGGATTTTATAAAACCCCATTGTCTCTATCAAAACAAAATTTCAGAACTCAAAATTTCAAATTTTGATATTTTGAATTCCTATTTACATTTACATTACAAAATTCAACAACGTTTTAATAATATTTAAGAGTCTTATAATATTTATAACGCTTAGTTTTTAACTTTCTGGAAAATGGCTTTTAGAAGAGTTTTAGATGACAAACTTTTACGTTTTATTTTTGCACCTGTAAGATTATTTGGTGGGAGTTCATTTGAATTGTTATGTTTATAAATGATAAATTAAATAATACATTGGTTCTGTAGGTAGAAAACAGTGACTACAGTAAGTGAAGCCCATCTATAATGTAAGAAACCTTTTGAAATGATGAAATATTTGGACTGCCTTTACACAAAGTAACCACAATTGGAATTTTGCCTGTGGGCAGGATGTGGTTTGGGTTTGCCAGTCACCACTGTACTCGGTACATGCAGATTGAAGTGCAGACCATGTCAAGGTAGCGGCTGTAGCTTTGGCCAGTAGATTAAATTAAACGTGGCAAAGGAGACGGCGCCAGAGGAGGAGCTCCATGGCCAGGAGGAGCAACTGCAGCCATGCAATGCCAGCGGCAACGGCAACGGCAACGGCAACAACATTAAACGTGTTTACACCATGTCCGACCAGTTGATATGCCAACTGGCCCGACCTGTCCCTACACACTTGCACTCGTACACAGGGATGCGTAGCCAAGCATGAACTGCTCTTGGACAATGAACACATGCCATGGCAGGGCATTTCCACCCCAGGACCCCCCACCATAACCACCCACCACCCCCTCGACTATTGTCCTGCTCTTTGTTTACAGTTTTTCGAGGGGTTTCGCAGGCGAGTGAACTAGCAAAAAAAAAAAAAAGAAAAAGAATCACAATCACTGCATACTTGCAGGTGCAGCTGCTGTCATAATACAATTGAAAAGCTGGCGCTACAATTGCCACAGTTGTTGTTGCTGTTGTTGTCGCTGCATTGTTGTGTGCTGCGAATTAACCACCCTCCCCCTCCCTCCTCCCCCACTCAACAGTTCTTTTTCTGTACTATTTTTCAACATCTTGGCGACCACGTTTTCCCACAAAAGTGCTGCATACTTTGCGCAGCCACACACCTTCATTTGTGTCACAGTATTTGTGTGTGCACATGTACATTTGTGTCTGTGTTGAGTTGTGTCGCCATGTGTTAAGTAAGTTCGGACAAGTGGCTTTTCCAGGCATTTTCCAAGCACCTCCGCCCGACACTTGGCCTGTCACTTAAGCTAAGCATCAAGCAAATGCCATTTTTCATCTAAAAACTATGGCAAAAACATTGATCACGACACACTGCTGGCTACTTGGGTCTAATGTTTATGGGCTTTATCAAATGGCCTGAGCTTTAGTAGACCGAAAATCCATTGCCAGCTATTAGGCATTTATTAATATTTCATTCAAGTCTCTGGCTTGGAATTTAAATTTTCAACAACTTGAGCAGGTCCCTTGTCAATTAAATCCAGCATTAGTCAATTTCGTCGTTTGTGTACGTAATAGTTAGTTTATTAACTATGCTAGTTATCTATCTGTCTAATTACCATAGTGGCATTCATCTCTTCTTTATAATTAAGCGCAAATTCTTTAGCCCAAGAGATATCGATATGAGCTATAAATACAACGTTTGTATAATTAACAAATGCGAATTCTTAAAATCAGTAAAGTTATGTAAATAACATAAACATTTAAGAGCCCCAACGATGTCAATTAATAGGAAATTATAAACATTTCAACAAAATTATAAAAACTTTGTTAAAATTGCAACTATAATTTTTGGTATTTTTGTTACTTACCAATTTTTCTTTTTAAGTGTTTATATGGACATAAAGATTGTGGCTTAGCATTGTTTCCTAATGAATAGATAATTGAGGAACCCAATGATTTAGCTAAATAATAGCTTTAATATATTCAAAGACCAACTATTACTGCCACAAAAAAGGATTAGGATAACTTTTTCAGTGTGAGAGACAAACTTTTGCCGGTAAATGTATGTATGTGCATCAGAAAGTCCATTGTTGAGCTCTAAACTGACAACCGGCCACCTGCAAGTTGCAACTGTCTCACAGTCGTCAGTTTAGCCGCAGGAATCAAAGTCCAAATATTGCGCTCATTTATTGACCGTCGGCAAACACAAGCGAGAAGTCAAATGAAATTGCTATAAACGATGGACCGACCAACTTTCACCTCCCTCCCCCCATTTCTTTCTATTGACAGAGAGGCATGTGTTTGTGCAGGGGGATCGGGCTTGGAATTGGGATTGGAACTAGGTTGGAGCCGGGGAAGACAACTTCCTGCTTTTGGCCCCGGAGTGTGTCTTTCAGGGAACTCTCGCCTAGGTAGGGCACAACAATTGCAGGAGATCGGCAATTTCCTGCTTGCCTCGCAGGCAACTTGATTACAAAGCACAAAAATCAATAGGAAATGCAGTTAAATATTTTGCAAGCCGAAATAATTGCACATCGGAAAGATGGAGGAATGAGTTGGTAGTCGCACAATAAATGCAGCCAGCTGTCCGGCATTGTTGGCAGAAATTATTTAATTAAAAGCCGAAACTGAAGTTGCCCGGAAAATGTTCCTCAGCTGTAAGCGCAACGGCAAACTTATGGATCATTGCAAACTTTCGTCGACCCCCCCACACTTTTTAGGATGTTTTTTTATTGCACCCAAAAAGCTGAGCTGAGCAGGTGAAAAAGTTGGCAAGTCAGCCTTCAACTTGTTAAACAATTTTCGTATATATTTTCGACAAGTTTGCGTCGTAAGTGCGAGTGTGCGGGTGGTTAAAAATCTTAAAGGCAGGGCGAGTGCAAAAAAAAAAGGATAAAAAGGAGAAAATAAAAACAGCAGATTCTGCTGGATTCTGCGTCTGACTAGCTGACTAGCTGTCTATCTGCGATTCCTTGCGATTCCTTCTGACTGGCAAGTTTGCCAGACTATTTTTCTGCCGCTTTGCATGACGGTGCAGTGGGCTTGCAGCCGGTCGAAAAGTTACAACCCATACCCATCCGTAACCCCCAACCTCGCAATCCCCAATCCACATTGCCCGATCCCCGATATTTTACTATCCCCCGTCGGCTTTTGTGCGCTTGAGCGCTGAGCGCCTCAGCAATATGCAATTGAATTTTGCAAGCTCCTCCATCCAGGTGCTTGGACTATACAGATAACACTGCAAAATACCATAAAGTGTGCGCTTAAAGGGTAACGCTATCAATAATAAATAGCCGGTCTAGAAATTCATGCACCAATATCGCCCAAAAGCCAGTGCCTGGCCGAAAAACAAAAAGCAGCAGACAGCACAACAAAAACAGGCGAAGCGCCCCTGGTCAACTATTAAATTGGCCAGCTTAAACGGAGACTATATAATAAAT